CATATCATCTTTCATTATATTGCACACAATCACTGAGTTTTCAAGACTCACCACATATCGTGACTTTGTATATGATTTGGACAACCGAGAGCTTCGTTAGATAATTTGAATTAATCAACTCATCATGAATTCTCGCTAACCGTATGAAAGTGAGCCGCAAACATACATGTTCAAGGACATGAGAGACGCCCTGGGCATCACAAAGGCAGTAGACATCCTCGAGCACGTCGAGTCGCTCCACCCGGAGAAGCAGACCGTCGCCCTCGAGGCCATCCGCAACATCGAGCGCAAGGCAATGGAGTCCCAGACCCCGCAGCCCGGCCTCAACACGCTCATGTCCTACCTCGACTCCCGCGGCATCCCCAAGGCCATCTGCACCCGCAACTTCGACGTCCCCGTCCAGAACCTCCTCACCAAGTTCCTGCAGGGCTCGCAGTTCAGTCCCATTGTCACGCGAGACTTCAAGCCCCCGAAGCCGGACCCGGCTGGGATCCTGCACATCGCCAAGGACTGGCGTCTCGTGGACGACAACGGCGAGGTTGATGCAACCGGGCTGATCATGGTTGGGGATTCCATTGATGATATGACGGCGGGCAGGAGGGCAGGAGCGGCGACTGTTCTGTTGGCTAACGATGTGAATCAGGTGCTGGTGAGCCATGAGCACACGGATCTTGTAATAACTTCATTGGGCGAACTGGTAGATATATTGGAAGAGGGTTTCCAAGGTCGTCAGATCCAGGTAGTATAAGTGCTGAGAAATTGACAAAGATGCCACACCCAACATATATTACTTATCTTGCATTGCCTTACTTTTCCACCAGCCAATTGTTACGCAGATTGAGGATATATGCAGACCTTGCTCGCTGTATTTGCCCTGACCATTTCTACCCTTCCTATGCCAAGCATAATTGCTCTTTTCCTCGCTTATTCAATATACAGCATTAAGCCAAGACTCTAGATTAAAGCTCGCCTGTATCGCGAGTTTCCCATAACATGATCCAACCAAGTCCATCTCGAAAGAGTGCAAAGCTTGTGAGAATATTCTCAACACCAAGTCAGGATCTTTACGAGCGAAATCAATATGGCGGCTAGTTGGTACACGGAGCTGGCTACCATGGCGCTGACAGATAATGGTACAATCATGTAAATGCGACACTATGGAATAGTTTTTTCCGGGACAGCCACGTTCAAGAGCCATAGGGCAGGCCGTGTCTTCGGTTGTCTCTTCGCTGCTCCTCAGGCGTCGATTTTCGCGGGGGAGCTGGTGGCAGAGGTCCAGAGGGCGGGGCTGGTCGGACAGGCAGGCTAAAAGTGTTCCCGTTTGAGACACCAAGTCCAGCGCTGTCACCATATCCTCCAGGTCTTGGGGTAAGACCAGGATGACCCGATGGTGTTCGGCCACCGGCAGTGCTTGAGCCGTTTTGTTCCCGAGGCGAGACAATGCCGCTTCCAGAAATGGGAATCTCTCCAGATGTAGGTGTGTGCAAGGCTCGTTCCTCTCCTGCGAATTGAGAAGGAGGAGAATCGCTCGACCGAAGCAGGTCCTGTGTTGATGGTGAGAGCTGAGGAGCGAGATGAGACTTGCGGTTATCACGTTCCAGCATACCCACTGCCCATTCCCTGAGATCAACTGGAGTCCTTTTACCTGCCTGGACAAAAGCATCACGGTCCTAAACACACTGTTAGCTTCCCACACGCCCGCGCTGAGAGAGGTGCAAACATACAAATAATTCTTGAGGAGTAGGCCGTCGCTCCGGTTCCTTGTAGAGACACTTCTGAATCATATCATCCAAGACACTGGGAAAAGCATCGCTCTTGGGGAGCTGAGGCGCTGGCTCGTGAACAATTTGTTGCAGCAAATCCAGAATGCCGGCCGGGGCGCCATCTCCATCCGAAAGCTGTTCGCTGGCGGCGAAAGGGAATTTACCGATGGCCAGCTCCATGATGGAGAGACCGAAACTCCAGACATCTGACTTGACCGTGTACTTCTCGCCCTGAATACGCTCCGGGGCCATGTATGTTGATGTACCAACGAATGTGTCGGCGATTGAGTTGACGAGCTCACCAGACACGCCAAAATCGCACAGCTTGATGGAACCTTGCGAGTTGACCAGGATGTTGGACGGCTTGATATCTCGATGCATGATGTGATGCTTTTCGTAAAGGTATGTGAGGCCCCCCAGTGTTGCCACGGCGATTTTTCCCAATACATCCACACGGACTGGGCCGAACACTCTAGATACTCGATCAAGAGCCCTGTATTTTGATACTTAGTATTTGCTTCATTTCGATCCGGTATGGTTGAGTATGTCTGCAGATAACCTACCCCACATCCATGTATTCCATACACATTATAACGTCGTTATTATGGTTCAAGAAAGCACCGTAGAAATTAACAATGTACTCGGAATGGCAACCATGCATAATCTGTAGTTCTCGGACGATACGCTTGCGTATTTCTCGTTTGGCTTCGACGTGAATGACCTGGAAGCGCTACATCAGCGCTGATCTCAGTAACAAGCATCTCAGTCGACTCACCTTGCGAGCCATCACGGTACCGGTCTGGACATGCTTGACCTTGCTGACAGTACCACCATTTCCAGATCCCAACTCCTTGACGATCTCGAGGTCCTCGGGGCGCAAATCTAACTTGTATTCGATGCCGATTTCCAGTTGCTCTTCCTGTTTGCTGTCGTCTCTTGTGATAAAACCGCCGGCGAATCTGCTGGTCTCGGCTGTTGGCGGGGGTTTCGGCGCAGCAGGGGTCAAGGCCAGGCCTTTGACGTTCTTGCGCTTCATAGAGCGCGGTGCAAAAGGGTCGCCCATGTTCTAATCTGGGTCGAGGGGTGGGATAGAGGTGAAGAGGACGGTCGCAATCGGGTTGAGGAGATGGAGGAAGGAGGAAAGTGGCTGGCGGCTACCACGATGGTTGAGCAACAAATGGGGCCCAAGATAGAAGCACAAGTTGGCTTGACCCCACGTTCAGGCTATGGAAGCCCAACAGACGGAATGAGGTAAAATCACTTGGAAAGGGTACGGCACACGCTCTTTGGCCAGCAAAGGCTGGTTTTATAGGAAGAGGAGGCTGAGGAGGGAAAGGGATGGTTATTTGGTCGTGTTACGGAAAGGAACCGTGGGGGTGAGGTGCAGGGCCGCTACTAATATTGCGTGCAGTGGACGGAGTATCCTGACCTGAGGCGCGTGGTTGAGCCTAGGAGGGATGGAGGTAAGTGCGGTATTGCCTAGCGCAGCAGGTAATCGCCAGTACCCCAAAGCTACTTCCTAAGCCAACGGAGAGCACCAGTAATATCGCTGATCATAGGTATTGAAATAAAATAAGCCACCTCGACAAGGTAGGTGATGGGGAAGAAACACCCTGGCATTGGACTGAATATGCAAAGCTAGGCATTGATTATGGGCTGAGCGGCCTAGAGTGCATGGGAGGCTGTAAGAAACGCACTCCCCTTGAAACATCGTCATGTCAGGCCTTGATGGTATAGGTATACCATCGCAGGTACCTCCCCCAAGTGCGATAGCCGCCAGCACGGGAGGTAGTCAAGCAGTATACGGAGCTAGTCCTGGGCAGTTGATGATTAGGACACCACTAGCGACGGGAGTGAGGGTGGGCCTGGCTGCCGCGCCCAGGAGATGCGATGCGACGCAGGTGTTTGCCAATTTTCAATGCTTTGGAACGCTGAGAGCTAACTCGCTGATCCCCTGGTTTAAAAAAAGCAGCATGGGACCCTTTGGCTTGCGCAATCAGCAAGTGCGACTGATAGCTGGGAAACCCGCATTGGGCAAAAGCTAGTGCCATGGGGGTTTGTACAATATTAATTCAATCACGGGCTAAATAACCAATTTGGGCTCTGGCAACTTGTTGATATTCTATAGGATAACACATTTTAATGATATCTGCAGAATGCTTGGCTTGCAATCTCCAGCGTATGGGCTTTCATTTTCGTCGTTTCCAGGACCCAGCCAAATAGTGGCTACGGAAATGCGACAGTCGCGGTTTCAGAGGAACCCCTCTGGTTTCCAGTGCTGGGCTGCGGATTGAGCAGGCCACGGAGCTTAGCGGTTTCATACTGAGATGCCCACTGTAATAGGCACAGTTATTATACATGAGCAAAGGAGCTGGCGATACCTCAGTTAAGCGATGGAGAAAGATGCCAAGTGAGGACTCTGTAAGACCAGATAGCTGCTCACAGGGTGGGGTTCTCTCTCTATACCGGGGTCGTGCAATAGCACTCGGTGACACCGGTGACACTTCATGGGTTACCTCGTTGGAAATTTTCTTTCATTTGGATTCCACTACTTGCTTTCTCTTCGTCTTAGTCTCGTAGGCATGCATGTAAGGATGCCTGTGAGAAAGAGAGTATCTCGGTTGGTAGAGAAGCAATTGAAAGTCCATCCACGATCGCAAAGTAGAGGCATTATCCAGCCTACTATAGGAGAAAGGGAAAGCAAAACCCGATTAAAATAGATGAACAGCTATTTAGTTAAAAGAACATAAATAACAAAATGAAAGATACTGACGGCAATTAAAGACATACTAAGTAAAGTTGCAATTAGAGTGGTAACTCTTAAGGGCTATAGGGTATCTAAGATATCGAGAAGAGCTAAGACCATCTAGCACAGCCACAGAACCAGGAATATATATCTTCCGAGCCCCCTTTGAAGCGCCACACGCCACACCGAGTCCATTACCGCAGAAACCTGGAGTCGCAGTTGGTGCTCAGCCAAGGTGTACTAAGCCAGCTCCTGCTCCAAAAATTCACGAGGCGCGTGTCTGCATGTTGAGCCGACAGCCTGCCAACAAGCTTTTTCAACAAGCTTTGTCCACGCATGTGGTCTCTCTTCTCACCACCATATTTCTTCCCTTTGATTTAATACTTCTCCTATTTTAGTACTATTTGGAAGTGGTTCATCCCATTGTCGCAGCTCTACCAGTTCCAGTTTCTCACCCCAGTCCTTTAATTCAGCGAACCGAAACCGTCAAGATGAGTAACACGATGCGCGACTTGATCTCTGGCGAGGCAGAGCTCGATGACGAAGAGGATGACGAGTCATTTGACGAGGAGACTGGAGAACAGACTCGCAAGAAGAGAGCGACTCAATTTGATGACTCGAGCGAGGAAGAGGAAGACGATGATGATGAAGAGGAAGCAGCAAAGGTGCGCAATGGATCTTTGCATCATTGGACGCTGCTAACCAAATATTCTTGTAGATCCGAGAAGGATTTATCGACGATGACGAGGAAGAACTTGAAGAAGAAGAGTCTGATGGTGAACGTCCTGTAGTGAAGAGAAAACGGGAGCATCGCGATCGAGATGAGGAGGCGCGCCTGGACGAGGAAGATTTGGAACTTATCGGCGAGCAATTCCCGCGCGCCAAGGCACAGCCTCAGGTTTGTTACTCTAAATCTGCATCTTACTGCATATCGCGCTAACTTATCTACGCAGTCCAAGTTCAAGCGCCTCAAGCGTGGCCATAGGGGCGAAGAACGAGGGGAGAACGATCGCACTGCCTTGGAAGAGATTTTCTCAGACGAAGATGAAGACGTTGCGGAGCCTCGTTACGGGCGATCAAATTACCCTCGCGATGATCTCGACGACTTCATCGAAGAAGACTTCCCTGAAGATGAGGATATGCGACAACGAGACAGAGAAGATGCCGAAGTCGCTCGCCCAAGAGAGCGTGGTGTCGGCGCTGTCGTAGATACGACTGGCCTGGATAAGGATGCTCTGGACGATATGGAGGCCATCTTCGGAAATGGCGAAGACTATGAATGGGCTCTGGTGATGGAGGACGACGAGGAACACCGCGAGCGAGAAGATCAGCCGATCGAATTGAAGGATGTTTTTGAGCCCTCCCAGCTGAAGGAGAAGCTCCTCACCGATGAGGACAACCAAATTCGATTTACCGACGAGCCTGAACGTTTCCAGCTTGAGCGCAAGGCCTTTAAGAACCTACAGTTGACTGCCGAACAATTTAGAGAGGAGGCCAAGTGGATCACCAACCAGCTCTGGCCTAAGAAGGGATTGCCTCAAGATCTGCATGTGTCGTTTGGAAAGGCAGTTGGAAAGGTCCTGGAGTTCTTCATCGTGGATGAAGTCGAAGTCCCCTACGTGTTCCAACATCGCAAAGATTACCTCCTACACACAACGAAGACGCGTAACTCAAACTCGGAAGAGGGGGATGGCTCTGAGTATTCCATTCACGCAGAGAAGTTGCTGAACCAGGACGATTTATGGAGGATTTTGGAACTTGATATCAAATTTCGCTCGTTTGTGGAGAAGCGAAATGCACTTGAGAGGACTTTTGACAACCTCAAGACGATGGATGTCGAGGATGCCGTAATCGAGGAGATGACACCCGAGGCCGCCACCATGGAAGACCTTCAGGATCTTCAGGATTATTTACACTTCCAGTATGCCCAGCAGCTCAAAGATCTTGCAGCTTTGTCTGGAAACACAGCCCAGACAAAGCGCCCTGGGTCGAAGTCTTCGCTACTTGACCGAGTTCGCAAGAGCAGGGCAATGCAATTCGTCAAGGCTTATGGCATATCGGTTGACCAACTTGCCAAGAACGCACTTCGCCAGGGCAAGAAAGTCGCACCAGATGACGATGCTCAGTACCCAATGGATCTTGCCGATAGCCTGGTAGACGACACGTTCAACACTGGTGATCAAGTCATCAATGCTGCGCGACAGTTGTATGCTGAGGAACTTTTTGTCAGCCCGAGAATGCGCAAGCATTTCAGAAACTCGTTCTACCAGGCGGCTGAGATTAGCTGCCGACGGACGGACAAAGGCCTTCGAAGGATTGATGAATCACACCCTTACTACGAAATCAAGTACTTGCAAAATCAGGCCATTGCTGACATGGTCCACCAGCCAGAGCTTTTCCTGAAGATGATGCGTGCTGAAGAAGAGGGTTTGGTTGAGATCAAGCTGGATATGGGGAGATATAATTTCCGCCACCAGCTGTACCAGGAATTCGAGTCGGAAAACTTCTCTGATCGTGCCGAACAGTGGCGGGATGAGCGCAAGAAGGTTCTTGACCTAGCGTACCCCAAATTGGAGAAAATCATCGCCAAGAGTGTGAAGGAAGTGATTCGAACTTTCTGCCAGGACGAGGTCCTGAAAATGTGCCGAGAGGAGTACGTGAAGCGTCTTGACCAGGCGCCATGGAAGCCTAAGGGTATGATTCTGGGAACAGCAGCAAGGGTCCTTGCAATCTCCAACGGAATGGGTGACCCTGGCCGCGATCCCATCTTCTGGGCATGGGTTGACGACGACGGGCGTGTTTTGGAACAGGGCAAGTTCGGCAATCTCGCCCGTGATGAACGTCAACGAGAGGAGTTTGTTGAGCTGTTGGACAGGCGTCGTGCGGATGTGATCGCAGTCAGTGGCTGGTCCACGCAGACTCACAAGCTCGTTCTTGATGTCGAAGCACTTGTTCGCGACAGGAACATCCTGGGCGGCGACTTTGATGATCCGGAAACAGATGAACGCACACGAGAGCCTTTGGAAGTCGTGGTTGTGAATGATGAGGTTGCACGTCTGTACAAGGACAGTCCGCGGGCGCACGCCGAGCACCCATCTCTCAACCCGGTGACGAGATACTGTGTGGCGCTGGCGCGGTATATGCAGGATCCCATGAAGCAGTATGCCGCCCTCGGAAAGGACGTTTCATCGCTATCCTTCCACCCATGCCAAAATTTGTTGCCCCAAGAGAAGCTGAACAAGTATCTGGAATCTGCTATGGTTGATATGGTCAACCTGTGTGGTGTTAACATCAACGATGCAATGACAGATTCATACGTTCAGAACCTCCTGCCATATGTTGCAGGTCTGGGCCCTCGTAAAGCCATGAGTGTTGTGAAAGCAATCAACGCCAATGGTGGTGTTGTCAACACAAGAGATGAACTGGTGGGCGACCCCGATAGCGGCAAATTGCCTGTTGTTGGCCCGAGAGTCTGGAATAACTGCGCCAGTTTCTTGTGGATTGAGTATGATGCGACCAATTCTTCCTCCGACCCTCTGGATAACACTCGTGTCCATCCTGAGGACTACGAGCTTGGTCGCAAAATGGCGGCTGATGCTCTCGAGTTGGATGAGGAAGATGTCAAGGCCGAGACTGACGAGAACGGAGCCGGCGCCATTGTCAGAAAGCTCTTCAAGCAGGAGGAGCAGGACAAGGTAAACGAGCTGGTGCTTGAGGAGTACGCTGAGCAGCTGCTTCGCAACTATCAACAACGCAAGCGGGCGACCTTGGAGACGATCCGAGCCGAACTCCAGGCCGTCTACGAAGAACTGCGGAGGAACTTCTCCCTCTTGACCACTACAGAAATCTTCACCATGTTCACTGGTGAGACGCCCCAGACATTGTGCGATGGCATGATTGTGCCCGTCAATGTCCGAGTCGTCAAGGACGATTTCGCTCTGGTCAAGTTGGACTGTGGTATTGAGGGTCGTTTGGAGGCACACGAGGTCACATCACGATCATCTGTTAAAGATGTATTGAGCAGCGGGCAGACGGCGCAGGCCAAGATTCTTGAAATGAACTACAAGGATTTCGCTGCCAAGATGTCGATGCGGGAGGATGTCCTCAAGATCCCCTATAAGCGACCAATCAACTACGGTCGCGACGGCTGGGACTACACCCTGGAGTCTGCAGACAAGGAAGAGCTGCGAGAGAAGGACAAGACAACGGGGCGTACGCAGCGTGTTGTCAAGCATCCCAACTTCAAGCCATACAACTCGGTTCAGGCCGAGGAGTACCTGGGCTCCAAACCAATTGGTGAAGTCATTATTCGCCCGTCATCAAAGGGTAACGATCATCTGGCAGTCACATGGAAGGTTGCAGACAACGTGTACCAGCACATTGATGTCTTGGAGATGCAGAAGGAGAACGAGTTCTCGGTTGGCAAGATTCTACGAATCAGCAAATACACGTACACCGATCTCGATGAGTTGATCGTCGAACATGTCAAGGCAATGGCACGCAAGGTGGAAGAGCTGATGCGAAACGACAAGTACCAGAACAGGTCTCGGGGCGAGACAGGTAAGTGATATCAACCAACCTGCGGCGGCGGCCTGGGCGAATGTAAACATGCTAACAAACCCGGAACAGAAAAATGGCTCACGACATACATTGATGCCAACCCACAGCGCTCAGCCTATGCATTCTGCATCGACGCGAAGCATCCCGGCTACTTTTGGCTGTGCTTCAAGGCAAGCCGTACTGCGCGAGTCATTGGCCTGCCGGTGCGGGTGATCCCCCAGGGCTTCGAGCTCAAGGGGTATCAATACCCCGACATGCGGGCTTTATGTAACGGATTCAAGCTACGATTCCAGAACGAATTCTCCAAGATGGGTGGGAGGTAAAGAGCAGAAATATATGCTATTAGTCGGTAATGCGGAGGAATCAAATATGATACGTGGGTATAGCGGAGAGATTGTTGGGGAGGGCTTTCCACGCCCGGCCACGGGAAAATGAAGCATTGTACAGGGAAAATCGGCGCAAGAAGTGTGTTTTATTTTCTCATGATTATTCCTTACTTGCCCTGCATTCGCCAATCGGTGCTGTGGGGTGTTTACAAACAGAGAAACTTAGATATTCTGGAAATTGGAAAAAGCGTTAGTTGTTGCAGGCTGCTTGATGACTGGATCCCTCCAAGAGCTGGCCAATTTGTTGACTTTCTGGTCCAGAGTGAATGTTGCTATAAAACAGGTTCGATAGGGCCCCAATAAACAAGACAGATTGCCGACTGGCAATCATTCCTTCCGGGACCCCCCCTCCCCAGAAAAAAGAAAAACACGAACTGCGGTTTGAGAAGTGGTTCGACTCTGCAAGACGCGGGAGCAAGGAATCCGGAAACTGAGCCTCGACCAGCCGCCGAGCTCTCTCGTTGCGCTCAGCCAGCGGATGCCAGCGAGAATCGGAAAGCGTGTCTCTCCACTGACACAGATACGATGGATATCTCCGAGAGCTCAGCCTCTGATGCCTGCTTCAGCTAGCTCTGGACAGCTTGCATTGCCGATGGGGAGCTGGGAGGCGAAAGCTTCATGGCTGCTGTTGCCTTTCGAGCTCTGGCGACAGGACGCTAGTGGAGCTACCCCTGTCCTCCGGGTCAGGGGTCTTAAAATCACGGTCGGCTGCTTGGGAAAATAGACGAGCCCCACGAGAGCATCATCATGTGCCTTCTTGTTTGCGGACAGGTATCACCACCACGTCTGGCCAGGCAAGGGTGAGTCATGGTTAAAAGTGGTGCCATTGGCGCCTCCAGGAACAGAAGCAGAGATGAATATTTGAATCACTGGAACCTGGGGCTTGGATAGTTGAAGGCGACATCGGAGAGATTAAGGCCAGACTTGTGGTGGATGTTGATCTGCCGGCAGTGACGGGCGGCGACCGAGACTCTGGCCGGCCCACAATTATGGAGTTGGGAGGACAGACGTAGGTTTGGGTCCGAACGGCCTGGTCTGCGCCGATAGTGCGTTGTTGCGATTGCTACGGGATTGTGGAACGATTATGATACCTTACCTGGGATATCTCGCAGGCCCGTGCTGTTGTAGGTAGGCACCTGGGATGCCTCAGTTTGGGCTTATTTCCCTTTCTCGTCCGGTCCCTAAGACTTCCGGGGACGGGGTCTGAGCGGAAGAATCAGGGCCTTTTCGTTACAACTGTGGTCAGATCTCAGCTCGATCTCGCCATTGACCTGGATCTCTATCGTGATCAGTAGGAGCGGTCTACAGAGAAGCTATCAATTGGCACTGCTTGGTCTAATTGTAGAACTGTCGTGGTCTCCTATGAGGACATAGGGGAGGGTGTGTTGATGGGGCGATCCCCGCAGTGAGTTGCGTAGATGCCCCGAAGACAGTGGGGATGAGTCTGTGGTGGCCCCTGTGGTAGGCACTGGAATGGTCTCGGAGCAGCCACGACGTCACCAGGCTGGCAACCGCTGGAGCTGCTGCCCGTGTCCCCTGTCGCTGCCTGCTAAAGGCCGCTGCACAGCGCTGCACCAGCACCAGCCCCACTGCGCCGGTAGTGGTGAAGCGCAACGTCTTCAGTGCATTCAGGGTCCATCAGTGGGACAGAGTTACGCCATTGCTGGTGCAATTGGCAAATCACCGTGTGTGCGGGCGCGGCGGCACTGTTGTTTACCTCTCCCCTCCCGACATGTGTCCAACAATTTGATAGCAATAGCTCGTAAGACAGTCGTCGTGCTCCAGTCCGCTGGGGCTGGGTGGCTGTGGTCGGTCCACGATGGTTCTGTTGGGAGCCAGGTCACGCGACTGGCCTCCTCCGACGCCGGCTGGGATCCATCCATCGTCGGCGGGCCCCGCCTCTGTCCCGACCGTAGGCCACGAAGCGGTGGGCCTGTTCCCCATGCAACCCTTCCTTCCCAGCAGGTACCTAGCTGGCTGAGGTGAAGTCGCCAGTGCCTCCCGTCGGATCCCTTCCACGGTGGCAGCTTCCCTCGATCACAGCAAAGGCGGGGTGCCTCGATGACTGGCTGCTCAGATGACTCCCGCCGTGACATAGCGAACCCACAGTGGTGGACTGTGCAGCTCCGTTACGTACTGTTGGCTGGGCCTGGGAAGGAGGCCCCAGGAGCAACTGCCTTCTCAAGGACGCCCGGGCCGCTGCTTTTGGCCTGGCTGCCATCCCATGCGATTGGCCAATGCTGATTGGCCTGCTCTGTGGCATCATCCCATACACTCGCGTGACACGGCTGCTATAAAGCTCCCCCCTTCCCAAGGAATCAAGCTTCAGTCTCTCCCCCTCATCATCACTCTCACACTCGTATCATCAATTCGATCTTGTTCATCATCATTTTGACGATCTTACGCATCACGACCAATCCACATCCATCTACCTTGTTGTAAACAGGCCACTCCTGCTCGACACTGATAATTCTCTCTGCCTCTCTACCCGTCTACTTTGTTCCTACATCCCACCTTTAGAGTCCAGGCTTCTCACATTGGGTTTACCCCTCCACTATACCTAATTTCAAGAGTATGTTTTGTTTCTTCCTATTCAAAGAATCCGTATTACATCCCCTACCATACCTACCTCTTACACGGCCCCCAAGCCGGTAGACAATCATCCCCTCCTGTCCTGATACCTACAATCTCTCTCCTGCTACATTGCTCTCCAATCCTATAAACCTTACTTTACAATCGCCAAGACATCAGTCAGCACGCCCCGTCTCATCCATATTCCCTGCACACTGACGTTGAGAGCAACCCTGACTAACACGTTGCCAGTGACCCGATCTCACAAGGCCAACGACCGTGACCACAAGGGCATCGCCGAGGGCACCGCCTCTCCTGTCGACCACCTTCCTCGCTTCTTCGCCAAGCACGGCTATGCCGATGTCGACCCCAAGAAGATCAAGAAGGACGGTGGTGGCAAGGGTAACTGGTATGTTTCAACCCCTGAAAGTGATCGACAATGAACGGCTGCTAACATGTCTCCAGGGGTGGTTTTGGCGATGAGGTAATGGACGAGGGCTTTTCTTTCACCAACGCCCGTCGTCGTTCCAACAGCTCCTCCTTCTCCCACCACGTCTCCGAATTCAAGACCAAGTTTGAGGTCAATGAAGCTGAGCCTGTCTTTGAAGAGTCTCTTCATGGACCCATTGACGAGAACGAGGAAGAACTCTCCAAGGAGAATTCCTCCGAGAGCGGTCGCTCGTCATCCTAATGAGTACGCTTGTGTATTACCACCCGGGAATCTGAATTTGATAACATCGCCTCTCGCCGGCTATTAATGACACTTGATGACCGGTCAGCTGTTTTATATTGGAGTTTTGAGGAAATCGGACGGCATTGGGGGCGGATTAATGGCTTTCACTTCGGAGCCATGGAATGAACAGAGCCATGAGCTCTTGGTAACAACACAAATGAACTTGCAGATCTCGGGTTGAATTTACATGTACTATTCTATCATACTATTAACAGCGGGGAAATGACACGAGTCCCTGTTGAAGCCCGCTTTGCAGACTGAGCTACGTCTTAGAGTCAAATCAAAGCAAACTGTAACATTGTATTTCTACTCATGGAAATGATCATTGGGCACGAGATGAGGCAGTGAATGTGACAGAATGAGGAGGGGTAAGCGAGCCATTATGCAGAGTGCGACCTCCGCTGGACTTTACCCGTCTGCTTGAATCCCCCGGAACGACGAATGTCATCCCCTGGATTCATTGTGTGGCCGGATAAGCAAAGACAATGTTTAAATCGCAGAGAGAGATATATCCCTCGCACTAGGAAACGCCATACTTCAGCTGGACGTTTGACCTTCTTGGTGTCGTATGAGACTGGCCTCTTGAGATTGGCTCTGCGCCGGGTCAAGCGCGGCCAACCCCGCTTCGTGAGATCGACTTACACCAAGTTTCCACAGGCACCCATCGGTGGTGTGAGGGAAAGACGGGCGCGACACAAAGCTGTTCTTAGCAGGATGCAGCCGATCGTGTGTGTCTGCAATGTCCCCGAGTCAGGTACCCTGTCGATACCTCGAGAAGGGGGAGGGGGGGAGGGCATCATGTTGACGTTATTGCTCGTTTAGTTGCTTCGTCTGATAGGATAGGAACCCCGCCCCGAAGAGGCCGGCGTCGACCAAACCTACATCTCCGATGCCCGGATAAACTCTCTTCACTGAATGTAGAAAATGGAGATGGCAGATCGACGGGCTAGCCATCTCATGAGATGGAAATACGAACAAAACAGAAACGTGACCCCTTCTCCCGCAGCGCATCGAGAGTTGACGTTGACCTGCATGGGGTAACGATAGCCTGCATAAGTACCCAGTAATCCGTCGCTACCGGGGGGGCTCCAGGACGGGCATAGCGGTGCGTCGTGGTGGTCCAGGCCGACCCACAGCGCCTTGGATTCTCTGGGGTAGAAGGGCGTCGGGCGATTGACGAATTGTACCTACAGGGTACTCACATGGATCCCGAACAAGAGATGGCCCGTGCGCCCCGTCGTGGTGTCAAGAAATTTACCTTGCGTTATCGCGACGGGCCTCTATCGAGAGAGCATCCTCCCGATACTGTTTTGTGCTTCCCGCTGTGGCTACCCGGCGCAAACGAGACCAATTCTTCTTGAGTTCTTCTTTACAGACGCACATCGCCACTCGTATTCATTCGGCCAAGTGGAATCCCCCGGTGGGAGTGCGGGCGACGGGTAAACACCACCACAAGCGCGTTATCATCCTTTTGCGCCCATCCCCTTGACCGCGGCGACATCGTTTCGCAGGCGCTCAAGCGCTTGCTTCACAACCTCAAGGCGTGTAACGACGCAGTCCGCGAACAAACTGTCTACCGCCAACCACACACCCACCGCCAAAATGTCCCTCCCTCCAGCCTTCCACGAGTCTCTCCCCTGTACGTCCCCTCCCCAAACCTCAAAACCACATGATCACCAAACCAAACCAAACTAACAAAATCTCTAGACATCGACCCCGAACCCTCCCCCGAATCCCTCGCCGCCGCCCGCTCTCTCATAACAGCCGAGCTCTCAACCTTCTCCCCCTCCCCTCTCCCCAAGACCGCCGAGCCCTCCTTCTCCCCCGCCATCCAGACCGAGCTCGCCCGCGTCTCCTCAAAGACGCCCCTCCACCCCCTCGACCTCTCCCGCTACGAGGCCCAGGAGACCCCCCCCGCCGACGCCCCCACCGACCGCCTCCGCGAGGTCCTCGAGAACGCCCGCGTCTCGGACGCCTACCTCGCCTCCCGCCGCCAGAACCTCGAGCTCCTCGACGCCTACGGCAAGAACGCCTGGCTCGTCGGCAACCACCAGCTCGAGGCCGGCCTGAGGCGCCTCGAGGGGGAGCTGGCCGACGCCAAGCGCGAGATCGACATCGTCAACATCGAGCGCCAGAGGAGGCAGGAGGACGTCAAGGGCGAGATGCACACCCTCGAGGAGACGTGGAGGAAGGGCGTTGGCAGGGTCCTGGAGACCGAGGTCGCCGTCGAGGAGCTGAAGGAGCAGATTCGCAATGAGATGAGGAACAGGTCCTAGGAGTGCAAACCCCCAATAGACGAGCCGCAAGTCCTCAGAACCTAGCACTCAGCATGGACCGGCATCAATGATGGACTTTTAGACTGGATCGATTTTTCTCTCACTTGTTCTGCCAGGAGCGGCTTACACACGCTGGATGCATTGTATACCATAAACCAAGGAGACAGAAGAAGGGAATTTCATGTGATATATTTAATTTGACTACTCCATGTCTTGATTTCTGATACTAAGGAATATGTCGTTTAATAGGAAGTTCGGGTAATAGGAGATGAAAAGCCTCTCCTCTGTGAAAAACGCCAACACGAGCACCATAAAGCTGCCCGTCGAGAAAGACCCAGGCATCGTTGCCTGTCTGCCTCTCCCTATTAATGGTAGCACCTACCTTTTACCCAATCTTAACCCCCTCCACTTAACCTGATGCCAGGGGATCCATTTCCTCAACCCCGGGTTTGGCATCTATATACTTTGTGCGTCGCATGATATCTTCGACGGGGCCTAGCAGACGTTGGAACGCGCTCTTGCCTAGAGATGCCACTTTGACATCCGACGAGGCAACGATACTAGCAGCTCGGGGAGCGTCATTGAGCAAGGCCAGCTCGCCAAAGTAGTCGCCCTTGCTATAGTGCCGAACCTTGTTATCGATTTCACCTTTATAAGCATCGGCTTCTCCACTCTCCAGGATATAGAAGGCGTGGCCAGGGTCACCCTCTTTGATGATGAGTTCCCCAGGGGCGAACTTTCGCGTTTCCAGAGCATCCGCAATCTTGGACCTTTCGTAAGGGGTGAGCGGTTCCAGCAAGGGTACCTCCTCAAGGAAGCTCTCATACATTCGCCTTCGCGCAAACGTAGACTCCATAAGAATGCGGCGGAAGGTCACACGATCCAAGGCCCACAGAGTGCAGCCTGATTCGGCCGAAACCACCGTTGCAGCGCGTGGCGCGTTGTACATGAGTGCAAGCTCGCCAAAGGAACCGCCGGCTTGAATATTGCCGACTTGATCCCCCATACCATCCTGGCCAGGCTCAAGCTGTCCAGATTTGTTGACGTAGACGTCAAATGTGCCTTTCTCAACCACATAGAAGAAATCACCAGCATCACCTTGACTAATGACCTGAAGCTCCATGTTAGCTACCCTATCAACATCTAGAGAAAGGGGATGAACGAAGATTGCCGAGGATACATACCTTGATACCCTTGGCAGGAATAGGCTTCTCTACCAGTGCCCCGAGAATCTGCTCGCTCTGCTCATCTTCCAGATGACTGAATAAGAAGTTGCCCCCGATTGCCTTTTTGAGACGAGCAAGTTGATCCTGTGTCTTCTCGTGGACTGGAGGCGTCCAGTTGTCGTATGTATCCGCACTTGGCTTCAATGATTCTGCTGAGACCGATGTGCGTCTGTTGACGTTGTACTTCGGAGGAAAGTTATCACTGGCACTCGGTGGGGCTTTGGCTGCTGAGGGGGGTTCAGCCGATGCATCACCGCCGAAAGGCCCCGAGGGGACGAAGCTGGGATCATTCTCGTCGGCCTCTTCAGCAAGACTGTGCATCGGTTGCTGGCTGCCGAAAGGGTTGGCATTGGCGCCAAACGGGCTTGAGAATGGGTTCGACATGGTGTGTTTTTGAAGTGGATTGGCCTTGCGATCGACGGTGGGAGTCGGGAGGGAATAATATCAACCAATAAAGGGTGGAACGGGAGGCCCGAGATTCTGATGCAAAGATGATGCAGCTATATCATTCGTTACTAGCCAGTTAGCTTGAGTATTGAGACCAACGACCAAGTTTTCAGAAGTTGCGTAGGAGATGACTGAGCATGACGGAATTGGAAAAATGAGAGATCTGAAGTAGTTGAGGGAAATGGGCAACGTAAAAAGCAATTCTAATGAAAGCAAGAATATGACATGTGATCGAAAAGGGAGCATCTGCTGCGATAGAACGCTCGTGTAGCTGAATCCGAGTGTTCGGGCCCAAGGTGCGCTGCTTTAAGGTGACACGGCGCGACGCCAGGGACAGCTAATCGTCCCGTGTATCCTCGAGAACGAAGGTGTTCGCGGTGACTGTTCATGCAGCAGGATGAAAGCTTTGAGGTTCGGTATTTGCAGATTTTCTCGATTCGTATAGAATGAAGGCGACCAGAGATGGGACTGTTCAATCGTGACGTGGGGTAGGGCTGATCAAGGTGTGAAGAGAGCCGAAATCGAGTCACCAGCACTGGACAGTCAAAGAAAATCCTTCTTACCTCGAATCTGATGCTGGATGAATGGTCCGAAAGGTAGGCGCTGGGGCCGGCGAAAGCTATGGAGGAGGTGCGAGCTCAGGCGGAGGGAGCGCGGGGTCAGAATCGGGGCCCGGGAGAATATTCAGAGAGAGAGATGGATTGAATGCTGCTCAGCTATGGCGAGCCCGCAAGCGTGAGAGAAGAGTACGGACGGGCTCCGTCGGACTCGATCCGTGAGCGAAGCAGTATATTAGGAGAATGTGATTGCTGGGGAATGGCAGCTCCGGCAGCTGTCGTCGAGAAGGAAGGGTTCTTATGCGGCCAAGTACAGGCGTATGACTCTTGTGCGCCCGACGGAAGGCAGCACCAGCACCAGCACCACGTCGCAGTCGAGATAGAAATACAGACGGACACCTCTCGTAAAGATAATGGCAGATGGCAGTAGCGCGGTGACTGGAGAAGACTAA